TTCTCAAAAAGACTATATGACACCACAACAAATTATTGAATTATCTCAAATATTATATAAAATAGAAGGAAATCAAAAAATTAAATTAATTAATAGTTTAATTGAATTAGATATTTGGAATCAAATGGATGTATGGAATAATATGTTTATGAGATTAATGTGTATTGGAAAATCGTCTATTTATCAAGAACAATATGGATTAGACCTTCCATCAAGATGGAACTTGTTTGATTCAAACCAACAAACCCAATACAGAATTGCAGAAACTCAAGATTTTAAAAAAAATTTATCAACACTTTTAGATACGATGAAAATTGTTAGAGTAAATGATAAAACACTCAATCAATTTGTTGGTTATATATTAAGTCAAATGAGGTTTGATGAAATATTTAGAAAAGAAATTGATAAATTAGTAAAAGAAAAATGTCCTTCTCAAAATGGACTTACAATTAATGATTCTAAAGAACAATTATTAGCTGATATGAGAAAATTGTATGACTCTGTGTATCTCACTGAAGATTAACTATTTTTTTTGTTATTCAAAATAAAGAAATTTTAATTTAAAAAAAAAACGATAAAAATATACTAAAAAGAAAAAAAGAAAGAAATTATTAATAATATCTGATTTTTTGTTGATTTAATTAATAAAAAAGAGTTATAAAAAACTATAAAAAGATTTTCATAAGAAAAAAGAAGCAAAGAAATAATCAAAAGAAAGTTGAATTTTTTTTTAGAACAGAACTAAAAGAATGACCAATCTCAATAACTTGATTTTAATATAAAATGAATGTCCTTAAAATAAACACCCTTTTTCATATTGGACTATTGTATTTATTTATTTATTGTTCGAACGCAGATAAGGGGATTGTATGTTATTGGAAAGAGAATAATACTTTTGTTCATTATCCATTAGGAGATGATGGATGGGGATCACCAAATATTTGTGGAAAATATCCAAAATCCATAGATGTTGAATGGTATGGAACAGACACATTAGGAGGGAATTATACAATTAAAAAAGGTACAGCTAATGTTGTAGAGAATGACCATATAGAAATTGTACAAAAAGCACGACTGTCATGGGAGAATACTGAGGAGTGTGATACATTTGTCAATTTTGAAGAAGGTCATGGACTTAATTCTATTGGATTAAATGAGTTAGGAAGACGATCACATTGGGTATTAGCAAATACTCATTTACCAGATCCATTCGTTTTTACATTTGGAGTAAGAGAAATGGTTTGGTCAAATACTTTTTTAAACGTTACAAAGAATAGTGCAGTTTATATGTATACACAAGGTTATGAATTCTTTTATTTTACCAAAAATGAACCAGAAGCATTTGTTCTTTTTAAAGTGATCAATGATTCATGGTTAGAGATTGAAGAAAATACTAAACCATTTATACGAACTACAAGAATTAATACAACAGATAAATCATGTATTTATCAATTTTCAACATATCAAATACAAGAGCCAGATGTAGATAATTCAGATTTTAAAATGATTTCAATTTGTCAACGACAAGAAGTTCATAGATATGTTCAATGTTTTTGGTCAAAAGGACAATTTACTGATTGTACGTGTAAACCTGAAAAATCAGGTCCAGTTAAAACAAGTGATAATCTGAAATATCCTGACTGTCATTATCTTTCGTATTTATTTGATCTTTCATTAAATATTGATAATACATACGTTGAATTTGATACAGTTAACACTACTACATGGTCAGATTTTCTTATTCCACAAAGAATGGATTCATTAGTATTTAATTTAACAGCAGAAGGAAGTGAATATATTACAATTAATAATGATTTCTCATTACCAACTTTTGGATTTACAATTTATGGAGGATTAAAAGTAAATGGTGTATTAACAATTGAAACATGTGCAGAATATTTATTTAATAAATTAGAGTTTAAAGACATAATTATTGATTCATTAATAGATGACAATAGTATAGTATTTGCAGCAGAAGTTAGTCCAGAGTGTAGTAATAAATTACGAGAAAAAAAGATATTACCAGCATGTGGTAATTCTATTAAAAGATGGATTAAAACAGAAAAAGAAGTAGGATATGAAAATTGTGATTGTGACGTTAAAGATGAGACTTCATTTGAACAATTTGATTGTCTTTCTGTATCATTAATGAAAGATAGTAAATTAGATTTAATAATGAAAAGAAGTCAATTTGATGGAGGAGAAAATGATAGATATTGGGAAAATATAATGTTCAGTGGAAATGGTAATAGAACACTTAAAGGAAAAAGTCATCATATTAAAAAATGTACATTTAGTAGTGGAAGATCATATATAATAGATACAAATTTATATTGTGAAGAAGCTATTATTGAAAAATCTGTTAATCTTGATGTTCAAGGAAATATTGACATTAAAAAATTGATTATAGAAGGAAATTATCATAATTTTAATCAACAACCAATTATTATTTTAAGTAACACATCTAAATTAACAGGTCTTAAATCAATAAACTTTCAAAGTATCACAGAATGTATTGAATTAATATTAACAAATAATAATTATGATCAAATTAATACTGAAGAAATTGAATGTACTTATGGAGATGATTCATCTAAATGTAATATAATTTTAACAGAAAAATTATTTAGAATATGTCCATCAACAAATGAAAAATATGAGATAGAATGTGTTGTATATGGAAATAATGATAAAAAATGGTTTGAATATCCACAATGTCCATGTTTAGAACAAAACTGTACAATTTTAGTTCCAACAGAAATAACACAAATAAAAAATGAAATAAAAAAGACTAATTTCAATGGGAAAATAGTAATAAAAGGAGATATTACATTTATTAATTTTGATGTATTTAATAATCTTATTGTTAATAACACAGAAAATAATAATATAATAAGTATTACTTTTCAAGGAAATAATACAGTAATTAATAATATTCAGGGAAATAATATTAAAGTAATTATTGAAGAAAGTGTTATTATTAATTCATGTACAATTACAAAATTATCAATAAAATCTTCAAATACTATTAAACTAAATTATGAAGATGTTAGTATTGATACAATTTATGATACAGAATTAAGCAATATTATTCTTACTTCTAAAGTTAAAACACTTTCTGTTAATTCAATTCAAACTGATGAATATTTAGTAAATAAACCATTAATTGAATTAGAAAGTTCAAAAGATGAATTAGAAGTAACATCTGGAACAAAGTGTAATTATTCTAAAGTCTTTATGATTACTAAGAAAAGAACAATTAAAGGAGCAATAACACTTTCATGTGATAATCAAATAGCATTAATTCATGGAACGTCAATAATAAATAATAATGAAGAAAAAGAAGATGAAAAAAGAATATGTGAAAGAATAGGATTTAATAAACATTATTGTTATAGTAATAACAATAATTATATTATTAATGAAGAAAGTTTAGATACAGACTATTCATGTCCTTGTAATATGAATAATGGAGTGTTTTGTATTATTGATATATTATCAACTAATGAAGTGTTTAAATTAGATAAAAGTATAAATGAATTAATTATTAAAGAATCAATAACGATTGAAATGGAAGAATCAATAATTATTTTAACTATTTTAGAAAATGATGTAAATATTAATATTAATGGTAATAAAAATTTAATTCATGTAAATACAAGTACTTCTACTAGAATTTCTTTTTCAGGAACAGAAAATACTGTTAATACTTTAACAAATGGATTGACATTAAAGCCAGTGAATAGTAATTCTTTAATAGTTACTAATAGTGAAATAAATTACTGTACCATTTTATATTTTAATGAAGCACATTCTTTTAGTTGTTTAAAATGTGGAGATTATATTCCAAATAATGGAGAATGTCCAAAACATAATATTATTACGAATTGTTTAAAATATATTAATAGTGGACATTGTGTAGAATGTAAAGAAGGATATTATTTGGTTATTGATGAAAAAAATCAAATGAAATGTAATAAATGTGGAGAAGGTTGTTTAAGATGTACTTCTGATAGTTGTATACAATGTGTAGAAGGAAAACAAATAGATGGAAATAAATGTATAAGTGTTAATGAAGATAGTTGTGAGATATATAAAAATGAATATTGTTTAAAATGTCCAGAAGGAACATTTAATCAAGACTTACAACATTGTAAAGAAGAGTGTGATAATTCATGTGAATTATGTTATTCAGATAATTTAATGTGTCCAATTTGTAATACAAAAGAGTTATATTTTATGAGTAATAATGAATGTCAATTAAGTGATTTTGCATTAAGTGTAAGTCATAAGAATGAAATTATATGTAAAACTGGATATCATTCTTCATCTAATAGATGCAAAAAATGTTCAGATGGATGTTTAGAATGTGATACAGAAAAATGTATTAAATGTGGTGAAAATTATTTATTATCATCAGGAAAATGTTTAGATAATACTGGATGTAATAAAATAGAAGAAGGAAGATGTTTAAGTTGTAAAGAAGAAAGAAGTTATTATAATATAGAACAACATAAATGTATTGAAATAGATTCTGATTGTGAAATAATTGATTTAAAAGGTAATTGTATTGAATATAGAACAAAAGAAAGATATACCAATAATATGAAAGATAGTTTTATTCAAACAAATGAAGTAGAATGTGTAATGAAAAATGGAGTGTGTAGAGTTTGTCCTGAAGGTTATTATTCAAATAGAATAACTTGTAATAAATGTGGAGAAAAATGTATTAGTTGTGAAGATAATACCAAATGTAGATTATGTGAAAAAGGATATAATGTTGATGAAAATGGAAATTGTGTTAATACAACAATTCCATACTGTACTAATAAAATAGATAATTTCTGTATTAGTTGTGAAGATGGATATTATCCTAATGGACTTACATGTGAACCATGTATGAATGGATGTATTACATGTATTAGTAAAGATAAGTGTCAACGTTGCTCATCACAATTTTTATTAAATAACGACAAATGTATTACAAGTGAAGAAGCAAGAAAAGATAAGTGTATTTCAATAGGAACAAATGAATGTAGAGAATGTGAAGAATCATATTATATAAAAGAAGGACAATGTGAATCATGTGAAAATATTGTTAAACATTGTTTAAAATGTAATCCAATCAAAGGGATTTGTATAACATGTGAATCTGACTATATAATAATTGATGGAAAATGTATGCATTATTCAGAAATGTCTCATTGTAAAGGAGCATTAGATGGAAATTGTAATGAATGTGATAATTGGTATGCATTAGCATATGATCGAAAAGGATGTGTAAGATATACATCAGGATGGGGTGTGGCATTAATAATAATAGGAATAACTGTATTTATTGGATTAGTAATATTGATAATAACAATAATAATTATTAATTATAATAAATATGAAGAAAAAATTAAAATGAAGAGGATGAATGGAATTTTTGCATTAAGACATTGTACTGTTACAATGATGAGTTATCCTACTGTTCCAACTATTTTAACTAATACTACTTTAATTGAATTCCAAGAAACAATGGAATTAAATAAAGAATATACAAAAGGATTTTATATTGGAAATAAAGGAAAAAATCTAGTTGAAATATCATTTAAAATTAATAAAGATCAAAGATTTAGAATAGAATTTGCACCAGAAAAATTAATTTTACAACCAAATAAATGTTGTTATATTAATTTGTTATTTATGCCATATTGTTCATTTAATATTCAAATTCCATTTCAAATTATTATTGTTGAAGATAATATTAAAAAAGGAACATTAGATTTTAAATTTAGTGCAAATACTATTGAAAGTTATAATATTGATCCTAATTTAATTCAATATGATAAGGTATTAAGAGAAAATTATAACATTACTGTAACAAAAGGTTATTATAATACAACACCAGTAATAATTAGAAATATTGGTATGTTTAATTATACTGGTGATGAACAAAAAGAATATGAACAACCTCTGACGATTTTAGAAACATTAAATTCAAATAATTACATCAGTAATTATATTGGTAAAGTAATGTTATCTAATAGTAATTTAATTCTTACTGAATTTGCACCAATGGGAACGTTACAAGATATTATTGATAAAAAATTACAACTACCTCCTTTATTACGTTCTCGTATTATTCTTGATGCTGCAAAAGGAATAGCAGTTCTTCACTCAAAAAATTATTTACATTATAACATTAAACCTGCAAATGTTTTGTTAATAACTGATGATTTAAATGAATGCTCTGTTGCTAAAATAACTGATTTTGGTTATCAATCAAATTATAAAAAATTTAATAATCATAAAATTGAAGTTGTTGATCGTCCTACTTATATTGCACCTGAAATTATGACTGGTCAAAAATTTACTTCAAAGGCTGACATTTATTCTTTTGCTTTAACAATGTATGCCATTGATACTCTTACTAACCCTTATCCAATTAATGAATTTCCTTATCCTTGGTCTATATCTAAATTTGTTTGTATTGGTAGAAGACTACCTCAACACCCAGAAATGGGAAAAGCTTTATATGATATTATTACTAATTCATGGGAACAATGTCCAGCAGATAGATTTTCAATAGATGAAGTTGTTCATGACTTAAAAAAATTACAAAATTAATTTTAATTCTTCTTATTAATAACATTTTTTTATAAAACAAAAAAAATAATAACATCAAATTGTTCATTGATAACAAAATTCAATTGCAAACAAAAGGATAAACTGCTTTATATGATGCTTTATCATCTAATATTCCTGTATGGGAATATTTTCCTAAATTCTCAAATGTCTCTGCTCCAATATTTTGACAAAATTCTAATGAATTCAAATTTACTGTACCATCTCCATCACTAAATCTAAGTTTACTATCACTATCATAACTTTCATTTTCCATTTCTACTCCATCAATGCTTTCATGTCCTGATGATATTAAACAATGCATTTTAATAGGAAATGGTAATTTATAATTATATTTT